CAGATTTAGCCTTTTATGTTATATAGAGTAAGATTAAGGCCTNTGCGTAGCGACGAACTTCGAGATTTAACGACGTTTTAGTAAACAGATATAATAGCTACTAGGGGTTCTATACTTTTGAAATTCTGGTTAGTCGAGTGGATTAATATATTCTATTTTCTGTCGGAGATTTAGCNGGATTAGAGTGTGTTAAGTTTAAAGGAATTAAGTGCTAAGTTTTAATAGAATTAAGTCCTGTCTACGTGCTAAGACGAGCGACGCCAGGCGGGGTTTTAATAGAATTAAGTCACTTCCTTCGTCGGATTGTAGTTAGATGTACTTATATAAGGAGTAAAAAGCTACGTTTGTATTAAGAAAAGGTATATAAAAGTATAGAGATATATTCGTATAAGGGGTAAGAACACTTCTCTATAAATAAAAGATAAAAAGAACACTTGATTGCTTAATTCTGCTTGATTTTCCCTTGATTCTGGTCGTACGCACTACTTTATCCCTAAACAAAAGATAAAAAGAACACTTGATTACTTAATTCTACTTGATTTTCCCTTAATTCTAGTTGTACGTACTGCTTTATCCCTATTTTCTGCTATCTAATCCTCTAATTCTTCGATAGTAAGGCGGGGGGCAGGAACTATGCTAGGGGGAATGTACTTAGGCTCGTCCTTATTAGCGTACGAGCAGCTTACAGCTCCGTCACGCTACTTGCAGCCGGCGCAGGCACTACTCTAGTAGCCCGGGACTCGTACGTCCTCGGCGAAGACCTAGCGGGAGTTCTTAGTATAGCGCGTACGCTAGTGCAGACCGCGGGAGGCGATTAGGATAGCGTTAACGTACGAAGGACGACCGGTCTTAACCTAGGACATTATTAGCGGCTGTTTATAGTCGTTCGGGCTTATTCGTACGGATGGGGGAAAGGGTATTACTTACTTAAGAGGCGGTAATGCTGTCCTTATAGATAACGAACTCGTACGAGGGGAAACGCTAGACTGTCTTCTACTCGGTAGTATAGCAGAGCTCGGAGAGGGCTTAGTTACCTTTAGCGGTGAGGCGTACGACTACTAGGTCGGAGGTGTCCTCGTCGTTAGGGGCATCGGTAGGGTTAGCGGCGCGTACGACTTCGACGAACTTATTCTAGAATAGACCAGTAACTACGACGGTAGTAGGGTCGTACGGGCGGCGGATTAGAGCGGTGGAGTTAGATATAATAACTAAGGTGTATAAGTGGGAGCTTCGTACGGAGGGGAGGAGGGGTTACTTATATAATAAGGTTTACGGTTTAATTCTTATATAGCTCGTAATTTATCTTTTTAACTTAGATTAGAAAGGTTAACCGACTAGGCTAAAGAGGTTATTAGTTAGATATATAATATATACGGCAAATCTGTCCTATATAAACGTTAGCTTTAAGGTGTGAGACTTAGTAGAATAGACAAATAAAGAAAAAGTCAAAACGCCCGTACGAATACAACACTTCTAATACTACCCCCGTACGACTATAAAGAATGTAGATCGAGAGAAACGGCAGGCTTATCTCCTTTCTTCTTAAGAATCGAGACTTACCTCTCTCTTTCTCTTACTCTCTCTCTCTTTCTCTCTCTACTGCTACGCTGAAACTAAACCCTTTGTTCTTATATAGAGACACTTCCTTCTTATTGTTATATCTCTTTAGAAAATCCATCTTAGTACTAAGATATCGTCGTACGAAACAGAACATTCGTCTCCTATCTAAGCTACCGTGTCTTTCTTCTAAGCTTTTAGACGACACACTTATCCTACTACGTGCTATCGAGCCCCTATACGAGCTCGAGGGCCTTATATAGCTCGAGACGACGATGGCTCGTACAATACACCTTAGCGATAAGGACCGCTACCGCCGTAAAGAGAGCCTTGCCGTAGGTATAGTTCTTCTCCTCTCTTAACTTTACTATCCTAGTCGCCGTACGGATAAAGGTCTAGTATAGCTCTTACGGTATGCTATATAAGAAGTAACCGCTATACCTATCGAATCTAATAGTT